TCACGAATTAATTTTGATTACAGTGCGACCCGCGGCTTTTTGTGCTTGCGAACTTGCTCGACTGTGTAGTCCACTGAATCGCACAATAGAGGGTTGCTGTGCGATTCCACTAGGCTGTAGCGCCGCTGCGCCTGTTGCTTAATGTAGTCCTTTAGGTAAGGGACATCGAGGTCGAGAGTTTCGTTAAAGCCATACCATGGGGCGTCGGCAATAGTGCGCAACGTCCTGCTTTGCGACAAGCGGAGTGTTGAACTTTGTGTCAGAATCTATTTTACTCAATTTTAAGCAAATTCCATTATATTTGAGTGATTAATATAGTACATAAATGATGTATATAAATGTATATTTCAGTTTTTATCAGGGTCAAGCGGTAGTTTTACAATTATAGCTTGATAAATGGGCAAGGGAAACAAAATATTGGATTGGATAGTAATCCAACATACCATGCTGATTGTAGGAAACAATAATATGTAGTAAGAGATATTTTTGGACACATACTAGAAAATATTGAACCATCATTCATTCAAATACCTTAATTTTAGATTCACAGCAAATGGGATACTTTAGACACTTAGAGCATTGATATGCAATTAGTATTGGGAATGAATTATTACGTTAGATTCAGGTTAGTGGTATCACTTCCAATCTAATTTTTTGTCAAATTGTCTGCTCATCTGGCAAACTGACACGGTTTCCTTCTTTAATCCAGGATACAGAATATCCATTCATACTTTCACAAACTATATCGCATTCCATGTTTATTATAAAGTCCATCTTTCAATGTTCAGTTTCGTTAAGGACTTTGATTCTATGGAAAATGTTTAGTTTTCAAGCTTGTAAGAAACGGATTCTAAGAATGTGTTTTATTAAATATTTTTGAGAAAAAGTACGCTTTGCGTTTGTACCAGTCAGAAAAATAAACAAATGTATGGTATGAATTAGGTAAAAATTAAATACAATACAATTTTACTCAAATTCGCCCCACCTGGCAAAACAGCAGCTCTTTGTATAAAATACTCAGTAGCTCATCAGGTAGTAATCAAAATCAATAAGTTTGTTCTATCAATCTGCCTTTTTCAAGAGAGCCTGTACGAATTTGTACTAAAAACTAGGACATTTCATTGAACACCAAAAGTAATTTTGTTATAAAATACCCAATAACTCAACCACTAATAATCAAAACTCATAAGTATATGTTCTATCGAGCTTCTGATTCTGAAAGGGCTACCCAAATATGTAACATTTGACAAAAAGGTAATTTTGACATGTGAATCAATATGGACAGTATGTATAATTGTGAATATTTTTGAAATGTCCCGATCCTATATGTAAAATAGCCCATAAATAGTTTTCCTTAAAATGTTTTTGTTTAGCAGCAATACTCTCTCCTCTCACAGCTGAGATACCCTGTGTAGGAGGAGGAGTTACAAGCATAATCTTTACAACAAAAAAATAGGCTAAGTTCATGTTACCAAAAACTGGCGTCCACCAGATTCAACCCGATAGCATGAAAGTGGATTACCAGTATATGATCACGCCACTATAAAATTTCAGAAAAAATGGAGATCTTTTTAAAATGGCCAAGATATAGAAAATAGCTGATAAGCTAGTATTAAAATTGCAAAAAACCTCAGCATTCGTTATATATTTGACAGATGTTACATGTTATATGTTGTATGGTACATTACGAAACACTATATCGCCCATTTTCCTGGATCTCTCTGGTTATACAGGGTGTTTGGTGCATCGTTTGCAAAATAGAAGTGGCGGACAGGGCAGGTATTTTTCTATCACCCCAGGTCCCTCAAATAGTTTTTGGCCCAACGGAATTAATGATGTAGATTTTTTTAATTTTTTTTAGTAAAAACTCAAAAATGTAACACACAAAGCGAAATAAAAAAGATAAAGGGTATGTTCACCTAATGATTGATTTATCTTAATGGGTGATGTTGTACTAAATCAACATTACTTGCCAGCAGCATGTAGTTTTTTATTTATAAACTCATAAAGGGTTACAAAGAAGAACAAAGAATGTAAGTCTCAATTTTGAATTTCTGTAAAAAAAACTAAAAGCGTCCACGTTCCTAGAATTCTTTCAAGAACTATTCTAGTTTATCCCGATTCTAACGGTATGCCACAAGTCACAAAAAAGTTGAAATAATTTCTTGAATTTTTAAATTTTGTCTACAGGGTCAAATTTTCTCGGTCGGATAATAACAATAATTTTTTTTTCTGTTGCATAATTTACAAGTACAACGTAACTGAGGTAAAAACTTTTGTCTTCCTCGTACACAGCGGAGCAGTATCATCTGTCTCTCTCTTTTACTAGTTGAGCGGCTAACTGACAGGGACGACGTGGGTCCATTTTTCCATCAAGGTTCGTCCCTGCTGGCTGCCTAACGCTTTTGTTACTTCAACGTAGTGCCGCGACCTGTGACTGTTGTTGTTTTGTCAGTTTTCGTTGAGTTCTGTTTTGATGATGGCTGCATTTACAAATGAAGAGTATGCAGACATGGTGTTAGTGTACGAAAAACCAACTGTGTTGCACGAGCAACGCAAAGAATCTACATACTAAGAGCGCTATCATAACAGTCGTGTACCTGCTCGCCACACATTCCAAAACACTTATCGACGCTTACGAGAAACCGGTACTGTGAGCAATAATGTACCAAGAGGTGTCGTAGTGCCACACAATGTTGACATCGATGAGAGGATTTTGGCACTTATCGAGGAAGATCCTACTCAAAGAATCCGAAATGTAGCTTCATCACTGGGAATTTCAATTTGGAAAGTGTGGAAAGTACTTTACCAGAATAATAAACATGCCTTCCACTACACTCCTATACAAGGTACGTAAATTTTGTATCGCACTTACGGCAAACTAATGTTACTCGTATTTTTGTGATTGCAGGTCTTAAAAACAACCGAGTCCGGTTTTGTCGTTTCTTGCTGCACACAGACGTGGACGATCCGGACTTTTTGACAAGTGTTCTGTGGACGGGTGAGTTTAAATTCACCAAGGAAGGGATACTAAATTTGAATCAGTGTTAATGTTTGGGCAGGAGTAATTGGCAATCATGTGATTGAGCCACATTGTTTGCCAGTTCGTTTTAACGGAGATAATTATCTACATTTTCTGCAAAATAAGTGGACCGAATTGGTGAATGAGGTGCCAATTTTCAATGGCGACAGACGAAGAGACAGACGAGATGGTCCTATTCCATGGCCTGCACGCTCCTCAGACCTAACTCCATTGGATTTTTACATCTGGGGATGTGTAGAAGCACTCGTCTACGCGACAGAAGTTTGAACAAGGGAGGAGTTGATCCGTTTGCTACGATTCGGCAAGAAATTCGCCTACGTACGACAACCGTCGAGATAATAAGACAAAGGTGTCGTGCGTGCATACGTAATAGATGACAACAATTCGAAGAGTTGTGAAACAGAAAAAATAATAAATGATTGAATTTGATTTTACACGTTTTTTTATTTTCCTTCCCCTGTACAGAAAATTTGCTAATTCAATAAGTTAGTTAAACTTTTTTGTGACTTGTGGCATACCGTTAGAATCGGAATAAACTAGAGTAGTTTTTTAAAGAATTCTAAGAACGTGAACGCCTCTAGTTTTTTTTTAGACTTACATTTTTTGTTCTTCTTTGTTATCAATAAAAAACTACATGCTGCTGGCAAGTAATGTTGATTTTGTAAGATTGGTACAACCACCCATTAAGATAAATTAATCATTAGGTAGACATACCCTTTATTTTTTTTATTTCCCTTTGTGTATTACATTTTGGAGTTTTTACTAAAAAAAAATTAAAAATACATAATTAATTCCGTTGGGCTAAAAACTGTTTGGGGGACCTGGGGTGATAGAAAAAGACCTCCTCTGTCCATCATTTCAATTTGGCAAACGATGCATCAAACACCCTGTATGTTGTCGGACATCCGTCTTTTAGTCTTTATCTCATAATTATTGACCCCTCTGTAATTCGGACCGTATCACTCTGATTTCAATGTTAAGGCGGAATATTGGGTAATATAATAAAAATCAGCAAAATATTTCGGAGAGTCTGACTATTTTCAAGAGAAGGGCTTGATAATTGAGTTTAGAAGATTCCGGGAAGGAAAATTGAGCGTTTAATCTTTAGCATAATCCATCTTGTCTGTTAACAATTCCAAATAGCGCCTTGTTTCGGAGATTCGGACCCCAGAACGACGCAACTCTTGAATAACTTTCGAACAGAACCATGAAATACAGTGAAATTTTCACAGCATAGTAACTGTTAGAGACTCACATTATGGTATTGGTAGAAAACAGTGAACTCATGAAGATCGCCAAGGACGCACTAGCCCTGACGCAATACTGCTAATTATATTTTTGGAAAGCTTGATCCGTTGGCTGAAAAAATGCAGTCTAGTTTCTTTTCGATAATATGAACCGCTTTCGAGTATAAACCGTCTTGCTTCATCAATGTACACCGCAGCAAATATTCAAAAAGATTTCCAAAATAAAACTTGATTAAGTGATCTTATATGTCGTACCCGCAAGCTTTTCAGGTCGTTGATTACAAATCTCTTGTCAAAATTACTAAATTTTCAAAATGGTTGAACCCTTATATGAGAATTAGTATCACAATCGATAAAACAGTATCTACATACTAGAAGAAGACTATCTTTCTTGAAGGAGAATATTCTCCCCTTGGCAATTTTCTCAATCCAATATAACCGACAATTCGTGGGTTAAGTGCACTGTGAATGTTACAAAACCTAACCACTGATCTCTGTTACCAAAACGGTTTTCTCGGGTGGATATATATCTGAATCCGTTTCACTTTTCCGTTTGAAAAAACTTCATTCAAGGATGCATACAAATCTTGCGCACAACACCCCCGTAAAACAGCTGTATACCCTTGGGCGATTCGGAATCTCGGTACACAAAACATAAAATACAAAGCTTAATAATATGTTTTGAGTATAACAATTTTATGATGACTTACTTCTTAGACCACATTTGTTAGGGTTGCGCTGGTGATTAAAAGTCCTTAATGAATCTACGCCATTGGCCATAAAGATTCGGTCATCTGCGGGGCGATATGCAAAGTAACTGCAAAATCAATATTTAATCACGATTATTTCTGGAAACAACACATGTGCGCCGCTTTGTTATCGCCATCCGGTAAATTAATCAAAACGTATTTTTCAATATTGATACGCGACTGTGACTAATTAAAAATTCCAATAGGAATTGCGCCACTCTTTTATTACTTGTTTAATGGAAATTATCGAATTCTTTTCAACTGCCACATTGCCAGGATGCACTCTGTTTTAATACTGGCGCGTACCATCGTTGTGCTGGGCCATGGAAAAATATCATTATTCCAATTTCGACTTTTTAATCTCAGTTCACTGTTATACGCAGATGTTGGATTATTGGAGTATGAAGTGTGACAAACACAAGTGTCATGACAGCAGATTGAAACTCGCTAATTACTCCAAGGGCTCGCTTTCAACTTCTGAAAGCTGAGTTTCATTCGTTCAACAGATAATTTGGCTTTAACTAGATTGAACTTCTATATGATTAATACCTTCTTAGGAAATTTGACTATATGGCCAAAAGAACACTGAGGTAAGCGGACTATTCTGGTTGACACATGGCTTTTCAGCATTAAATTAAATCTAAAAAAAATACTTGCTTATATTCAGTTAAGCTCGTGCCAGTTCTACAAATGTCGACTTTTTTGGACCAGGTTTCTTTTGAAACACTCAGAATTAAGCAATTCATCTCATCCAGTATTTTTTTTAGGTGTCGGAAAGCCCAAATAACAGTTTAATGTCATGCCAAAGATCAAGTACGATGTTAATTAGTCGAAAATGTTGGCTAATTATTGGCAATTTTTAAACGGTTATTATACTTATTCCCTATCTGCTTTTTTCATTTTATTGCAGTGATAATGGATTCGTAGATATCAGAAAATAAAAATTTATGGCTTGGACATAAAAAAATGGACAGTATTGATGTTGAAGGATAACCTACATTTAAGATATTTATGTAATTTGTACATTTTTGCTCAAAATTTTGTTTTAACCCAAAAAAATGTAATGATCAAATCTGGTTAACCCAAACTGGGGTCAGCTCAGCTTGATAGACAAATTATCTAAAGCAACGCCGATAAAAAATGCAGTGGATTTAGGTCCAACGATATTGGTGGCAATGAAGTAAGCCTAATCCACCTTCAATTTTTGTAATTGAAGTGGCTTCGATCTGACAGAGTGTGATGTACTGGAGTGTTACTTAGTTTTATTATGTTCAACCAGATGTGTTTGCCTTATTTTCAGACGTGATCATGGCTCTTCTAAGAAAGTGGAACTTTAGAATAATTTCAATCTGGGTTTCTCCCATTTTAAGAACAGAACGATGCTGTTAGGGATAAAACATACAATTACGATAGTATGAAGCATTGAACAACTACTGACCATAAAAATTACAAAGCTCAGGAAATATATCAAATATGCATTTGAGTTTATCAGGTTGACATCAGGCTACCAGATATTTAAAAGTATTCGTAAAATAAGCATGAAACGTCTAGTTAGTTCTGGTGTATTCTTACATCTGCTCGAAAAATAATCTGATCAGGATCTGCCGCAACATACTAATGCTCAATGATACTCCGGCACATTGAGACCCCTTCAATTACAAACATGCATCATTAAAGAAAGTAGATCAGGCTGCACGGCCTTATTTCATTACCACAAAGTTCGTTGGACCTAAGCCAACTCAAACAACAATATTTTTTTATCGATGCTGCTTCAGAGAATTCGTATACCAGGCAGGGCTGACCACAGTAACAGAATTGAGTTCCAGCGTGAAACAATCCTCAAGCATTTTTTGTAGATTGAAGCAATGTTTTATGGCAAAAGGACATGCATAACAGTCAGTGATGCTTATTACATTATGTAAATTATCCCTCAACATCAATTTTGTCCATTTTTTTGTATTCTGGCCATACGTTGTTATTTTCTGATCCTCTTCCATTATAACTGCAATAAAACGGAAAAATAGCAAAGGGCGAATAATAGTAATACCATTTAGAAATTGCTAATAGTTGTACAACTTTTTAGACCAATAGGCGCAGTGATAGTACTTGATCATCTCATTCTAAAGGCGTTTTAATAAAAATGTAGACTTTAACATGGCTTTTATGTTTTCTAAATGTTAGCCAGTTCTTTTTAATTTTACCACTTAGTAGTCCATGACGTGACCTATCTGCAGTGGGACACCATGTATTCGTTATGATAATTTTGACATTGCCATGATAATTTGAATATAGAACGTCGCTGGAATCAGGTGCCACATTATATGTATGACAGGAACGCGACATCGAATTTCAAAGGTCGAAATTCAGTTAGAATCAGGCATCTGATCACCCGAAAAGTCTTAATGAGATTTCAGACGACCCGGCTATGGTCAGATGTGAACAGAACTGTAGACTTTTTCACAATCTTCTGCAGATCACAGTAACACAATTACTTCCATATGCAGTCGACGTCTATGCGCGGACGTTTTCTGCGTAAATTCATAGTCATACGTTTTTTGGTTTTGTCTTTCCACATTGAAAATTTTCTCGTCAACGTATCAGTCTTCGACATTTGAGCTTGTCACAGTCAGTTTGACAACTTATCTGTCATTGGAGTTTAACTGTGTTGGTCTTTCAATCAAAACATACCAATCACTCGAAGTACAACTACAATATGATAAATTTATAGAGCATTTGCAGAAAGTAAATGAAAACAACGCACCTCTATCACCCAATTCATATAAAAGCTAGTAACATCTGATTTAAGGATCTACTTGTCCAGTGTGCAATTCCCTTTATGGCTGTACAGATTCCTAAATCCGTCCTATATTTCATTTTGCTTTATAACAGGTGTTGACAGGTGTATGTTGATTGTCGTGTCGTACAACCTGCATAAGCAACGGTCTTTTATTCGAAGGGTACTTATACAGCTATACAACCGCATGATTGGGCAGTAGAGTCGGTCATCGTCGGTAGCATTTCCTCTCCAATTATCAATTCACGAGCTAGCCATTTTAACAAGCATCCCACGCTTTTCCTCTTCTCATTATAGAAATCAACCGGGCGTTCGCCGTTGTTGCGCTTGCCTCTCCGGTAACCTGGTATAGAGATGTACGATCCAGTCAAGAGCGTTGATTTTTCACATAAATCATAATACAAACTATAGAATGAAGAACAGTTAAGCCACTAGCATCAAAATCCACCAGACTTAGATCAGAGAGACAGCATTTTTTGGTACTTTTGAGTTCTATGTCATAGGATGCAAATTTTTAAGGATTTTTTCGCGAATCCACGGTGTAGCACAGCTAAGTACCAGAAACTGATACTCAAATTTTCGCGAAGAACGGGAATAGGGGAAGACGGATGTGACGTCATCCAAATGTCAATAAATCACGTGGTACGGGTAACCGCCTAACGGATAACAGGTCTTATGTCAATGTGATTTAAACAAGAGACATCTCAATTGAACATTTGTCTTCGTAGTGCCGAAAATTGAGTTAAATTATTAAATCATAAATGGAGGAACAGGTCCACCTGATTTCAAATGACGAGGGAGAAGGTCATCGAAGATATAGGAACCGCACCTGTCATATCAAACGGTTGATTCTATTGATATATTCTATATATATATATGTACATTGCATAAAAAACGGTCGGTCCTTTTATTTCAGATTCAAAGAAGGCAGCTAAGTTTATCAAGGAGCTTAACGCAAACATGCGCCATCTAACCACTCCCGCACGGTTATTACGTATTATGTAAGTATTTCTATAAGAACTTAGCACTTAGGCCCGTATCGTCAGTCGTCCCTACAATTCTAGGGCGCGTTTATGGCCTCCTTGATTGTCATACTCCTTTCTCTCCTTCAAAAATTTCTAGATTACACTTGTCAGCGCTCTCCTATTGTGAAGATATGTCTTCTTTTCAAATTGTAGGAAATTTCAGGCTGATAAAACATGATATAAATCAAAAGCAAGCTGAATTTGAGGCAAATAGATGTTTGTGACATAACCTCAAAATAGAGCGCTGACACGGAGAAGTAGAAAACTATGACAATCAAGGAGGCCATAAAGGCCGACTGACGATACGGGCCTTAGTTGTACGTGTTGCCTAAATGTCATGACCCTTCAGTTATCAATGTTTGGCTCTGATGTTATGTAAAATCTGCTTCTGAGATGGCACTACTGGAGGTCCAATCTGTAAGCTGTATGTGTTGATAATTCCATTGGATTCTTGTCTCAAATACACTTACTTGAGATTCAAAGCTAGAAATTAGTTGCGCATCCACTTTTGTTATCCATTCTAGAAATTACATATGCCAATTTGCTGAATTTAAAAAATGAGAGAGATAAGAAATAATTATATTCACTGTACACTGTCGAATTACAAGCCATTTACATATACATGCTAACAGTAATTACACACAACGCGGGCGCGGTGGTGATTTCCCGTAATTCTCCTCAAAGTTCTTCGTAATTTATAACTTTGAACATAATCTCTCTTCAGAAAGCACAACACAAATAACTCGTCGGGCATAGCTAATATATATGTTTCATTGGCAGCATTATTAGGACCAATTTCACCAACAACAGTCAGTTATTCTCCACCTATAGGGTAACAGACCGTCAGATACAGCGAATGAGCTTCAAGTTCCAATCAACACATTTTAGCAACCAATAGCTATGAAATGTTGAAAACAAAATACTGTCAAAGTATGAGATGACAACTTGTCATTGAAACATCACCAGCTTATTGAATATTAAGAAATTACATATAATTTACTCAATATTTTAAGAAATGTTTGATTTTTGAATTAAATTCATGTTTTAATTACTATTGTTGATTTTTTGTTCACGTTTATATTATTTTCTTCAATTGATATGTGATACTGGGTGTTTTTTCCTATAAACCTCTTGCAGACAACTATTAAGCACCTACTTGATGACAGGCTCTACCAAAAGATATTGCTCGTTTCCAAACATTCATTCATTTACTTGCCGTTCATCAGAACCATTATGGCACCTTAGATTG